GACGCCGTCATCGTGGCCGGCGTGATCAGCATCGGCGCCTGCACTGGCCGCGCCGTCGTCGTTGCCAACACCGCCACCAGCATCGTTACCATCATCATCGTGTCAACCGTCGCCGACGTTGCGATGATACCGCGCCCGCCCGAGCCGCCGACTCGCAGTGAAGTGCCAGCTGGAATGTGCCCAACGGTCAGCGCCACCGCGGCCGCGTCGGTCGCGCCAAACTAGCTGGCCGCTGCGCGCGCGTGCTTGGGTCGGCGCGGCCGCAGAAATGGACCAGCGAACGCCACGCAATCATCTCAATCGCCACCGCATGGGTTTTGCAAGCTAAGTCGCGAGTGGGTGGGTGGGACGTTTGCAAGAACATGGGATGTGTTAACTCGCTTGTAAAAAACAATTGCACCATATAGACTGGACCACGTAAACTGCACAAATTAGATGGCACAACATATACTACACAACACCACGTAGATGGCACCTGACTGCACAACCTGTACTGCTCGAAACACACTGTTTGGGATCCACGCGAACTAACATAGTATAAGGATATATGAGCGCGCGCCTCCCTTGGGGGAGGCCGACGCACACATGGTTTAGGTAGATGTGGGTGGTGGCAGTGGTAGGAGTAGAATCAGAGAGCGGCCACAAGAACGTGAATAACGAACACGAGACCCTTTGCCAGAGGCCGAATGCGCCATGGAGACGTCCAAGAAGAAGGGCACTCCAGGATGGGAAGCCCAAAGACGAATAACTTGTTCAGACCAAGTGCGCCAGGTGGTCAAGGACAGTCAGACGCCTGTCAGCAAACAGTGGGGTGCACCGGAAGCGAATTTTAAAGACGAAGAACACAAGGGCACCCCTCCCAAACTTTTCTAGTCGCAGCGCTGGCGGACGCTCAGCGCGGTCGGAGCGTCCAACCGGGCAACGGAATCGCGAATTGCTAACAAAACGGAAATGGGCGGCGCGCACAAAGGGGTGGAGGGAGGCGAGAGGGCTTCATCGGAGGCTGAGGCGAGAGGGCTTCATCGGAGGCTGCTTATTAGAAGTCGCCTGCCTTAACGCTATGGATAAGGCCCGCGCCTTCCAAGAAGCAGGCGTGCTTCTACGTTCCCCCATCTCCCCTCTGCGCGTGGCTGGGGAAAGCAAAGAGGACGGCCGCGGAAGAGGGCTAGAGGCGGAGACGCGCGCTCATAGCCGCGCAGACCTTCTCGCAAGCCGCACAGGCACCGCCTCGGGCTCTCCCGAAGGGAGCCGAGTGGAGCGCTGGCAGATCCGGCCCTGACCAGGATCAGCGGCTGCGAAGTACAGCCACGCTGCTGCAACAAGGAACGCTACATGAGGCGTTCCAGAGGGGGCCTGCCTTCGAGGATCGAAGGTGCTGGCATCTCTTCCTCGGCGGAAGGCGGCGAAGGTCGGCGGAAGCTGGCGAGGGGGGGGGGAAAAAAAGGACGGCTCCGCCAGCGGAAGGCCAGCGGAAGCCGGCAGAAGCAAAAGTCGACCTCCAAAGAGATGACAACATTTTCGGGTTCAGGGTTTCCAGAACCCGCCAAATAAGGAACGAAGCCACTCTTTGGCACCAATAGAGCCTGGGTGCACGAGGAGGGCTAGATTAACGACCACGGAATGACAACAGCGAGCCCCTTCCGAATCCAAGGCGGTCCTCATTTCAGCGTTTTGGCTGCACGGTCTTGCAAGGGCTGCTCTTAACCCTGGAGATCCGACATTGCGAGAAAACTGTGGCATTGCGAAAAGTCACGAGCCGAGCCGCAGGCCCCACCTCTCTGCCGCGTCTTTCGAGCCGGATCGATCTGCGATGGCCCCGGGGCCCGACACCTGGCGCAAACGCCCGGTGCGAAAAAACTGCAACGCCCGGATCTCAGGGTCTGCGTGCTGCCCGCGGTCGCAGCCGCGGGCCCGACCCCGTTCTCTCGGAGGGCTGCCGTTCGGCCGCTCGTCGGCCCGTACGGGCGTCTCTAGCGCGCAGAGGGGGGGCGCGCGGGCGCGCGGGCGCGCGGGGCTTCGCGGAGCGGTCGGGATCGTCGTGCGGCGCTGCGGCAGGCAGGAGGGGGTCCCTCCTCCTGCCGTCGTTGTGCCGCCATGGGGAACGCCAGGTGAGGAACGAAAAGGCATTCCTGGCCACGGCGAGCCACGGCCACGACAGGGCTCCCCGACCTGAGTCTGAGGAACGGACCGAAAACTGCAGCCTCTCCTGAGCTTAAGTGGTCTTTACTTTAGCGCCTTGAGCGCATCCCTCCGTCCGTCGACACCTCCTTCGATCCCTCCTCCAATCCCTCCTCCCTCCTCCTGTCCCTCCCTCGTCCTGCCCCTCCTCGTCTCCTCTCACTCGCCTATCCCTCCTCCAATCGCTCCGCCTATCCCGTTGGGCCTTGGAGATCTCAAGGGGTCTTAGAGGGATCTTGAAAGCCATGTGCGGAGGAGACAGAGGAGGAGCAGGAAAGGTGTGGAGGAAATGGGGGCAGAGGGTAATGACGAGGGAGAGGAGAAAAAGAAAGAGTGGGAATGGGGAAGAGGACGGGGGATGAGCAGGAGCTCTGCTGCAGGTGGTCTCATTACCAGTCGTTGTATGCCCAAGGACGCTGCAGGGAATTGAAGAGGATCGGAGGCCGTCTGCTTCGGCTACGCTTGGTGGGCTGATCTTATGGACGCTTTGCGCCAGGCTTGCCCTGCCCGCGCAGAGGCATGAGACATCGCACGTGCACTGCACGAGGAACTCGGGCTACGCCTGGAACTTATCGCAGATGACAAATTCCTGGGTCGGTTCCCCAGCATGGTGGCCAAACATCGGGCCAGGCTTGGCCACCACCGTGTCGCAGCATCTTGATGTGCCCGCCCGCGGCGGCGGCCTCTTGCACGCCTTATCGACCTTGGTCGCGGAGAAGATGTTGACCAAAACATCAACGCGGCTGAGGATGATGGTCTGCAAACCTCTGAGTTTGCTCAAGCGGAAGTCGAAGCCATCGAGCGCAACCTCCACGGCGGTCTCGTAATCTATGCCATGAAATCACAGATGCCCCCCAACTCCAGCATCCAAACATCCGCATTTGTCTGAAAGCTTGCTCAGCGCTTCTGGGAGAGCGGGCTCAACAGGTTCGACAACGACTCCTAATTTCGCAAGGTCTGCCTTCACCTGCTGCAGATGGTGCTGGTACTTTGCCGACAAGTGCCATTTTCCTATCCTCTGAACTCGTAACACGTTCACCTTTGCCTTGAACTTGTCGCAGATACTGGCACCGTTAATGCGCGGTGCATGTATCGCGCTGTCCTGGAAGAGCTGGGTGAAGCCACAGAGTGCCTGCGCGTCCGTCAACTCGACGGTCATCTTCATTGAAGGCAGTGAACTGCACAATCCAGGTGACGCGATTCGAGCTGTGCTGCATTCTTCCCAAACCTGCGAGTCCTTGCTCGCCGTGCCGCGTCGCCAACCCTTGGTGGCGAGTGTCGGATCCACGGCACCTCTGAAATGAAAACCCTTTTCGGGCATTGACAGACCCCCCTTTAGTAAAACGTGGTTTCGTGAAAACGACCTGAGGCCCGAACCTGGCGGGCGCGAGCCTGGAAAATAACGGCCACGGCGCCCTCTCAAGAACCGAAAACGGACAATTCACTAATCGACGTGTCACTGTTGGGGGTTCTGTCCACCCCCGATTTTTACATTTACACACACCCTCGGTAATGCTGGCGCGCTGAGATGTGTAGTTGCGTGACAGATCGAGAAAAACAAGACCTGTGCGGGCCACGTACATGAACGATTGTCCGTCTGCGCGCCACTAAAAATGATCACCCGTTCATTGTGTGGAAGCTCGATAACACATAGGTGCCGTCCAAGATTGAACCTTCACCAGTTTTGAATCCAGTCAACTCAACCGATTCCAACTCCGTCACCTTGAACGCATTCCATGTGCACACACCGAGTCCAGCTGCTGGAGGCATGCAGTTGACCCTTGATCGCTCGAAACTTGTTGGTCATGGCATTCGTTTGCGACATTGTTTGCTGGAGTCGAACATGTACTCCTCGACGGCCGAACGTATTCGAACGATGACGTCGCCGACCTTCAAGAAGTTCTGGTATTGCTTCTGGGGGTCAGCACTTCGGTCAGCGGGTAGACCGGCCCACTCGCCTGAGTGGCCCACGAAGCGCCACTCCACACCGCTTAAGCCCGTTTGGTCAGAAAGCTGGCTGCTTTGGGCACCTCTCGCCACGGCACCTGCAAGTTGGACCACCAGCTCGTCTGATCCCAGCCTGGATCGCCATCAGATGCTCGGACAGGTCGCACAACTTGTCGCGGTCGGCTGCCGCCTGACGGGCTAGCTCGTCATACTCCGCCTGCAGCTTGGCGCTTCCTTGCCGAGAAACGTCGAGTTTCGCTCTGAGCCTGTGCATCTGCGAAGTGACCACCTTCACGAACTCTGCAGCCGCTCGACAACGGAAGGGTCGTCATCGGCCACGGCACGCTGCCCCTTCAGGCGCCACGCGACCGCAGGGATGGATGCTCCAGCTGCCTGCCCGGAGGCAGCAATCGGGCTTCGCCTTCTGTTCTGCCCCATGGTTCGCAGACTGAGCACAGCGTTTTGAGGGACTGCACTACTCGCCCCTGGGGCGCGAAAGGACGCGTAGGAAGTGACGCAACACTTAAGCCTTGAACCACAACCCCTTTAGCCGAAATGGCCACGGATGGGGAATGAGCAGGAGGAGGAAGAGGTGGATGAGCAGGTGAGGGAGGAAAGGGGTAAGATGGGGCGGCGGGAAGGGAGGGAGCCACCAACGACTCGCCAAAACAAAAACTGATTTGATTAATCACTGATGGGCCATTGGGTCTCTTTTCGGGCTAGCAACAGCTGTTTGGTTAACCACTCGATCCTTACGACACGCCCACCAATGAACACGAGCAGCGCGTGTGATCCTCCGTAAGACTGGTCGCAGTTTGATTTTGGCGAGCTCGTGGCCCTTCCCAAAAAGGAACAAAAGGAAAGGGCAACGCCGCCCAATCGAAGCCGGTCCGCAAGATTCCGAAGAGGATGACGTACCAGCTTGCGTCTGCGAAGTTCCAGGTGAATACGTCGATGATCAGCGTGCTGATGATGTACAGGTGCATACAGCAGATTGTCACCAGGCCGGCGTAGACAACGGTCTTGTCGTTCGAAAGGCAGAGCATTGGTCCTAAAATTTCGCACATCGCCATGGCCACCGATATGATCCCAGCGAAACGGGTCAACCTGTAGTCATCCTCGTCGTGATTCACGAACATGGCTTTCCGGTAGGCTTGTGCCCATGGACACGTTGCGTTCCACTTCGCAGTCATCGCGTTCCCGACGTTGAGGTACTTGAAGCAGGGCCCGATTTTGCACCAGCCAGAGCAGACGTAGAACCAGGTAAGAAACAATTGGATGCCCACGATCTGCCCCTTCTCTATAGGGAAGCACATCGCGACGAAGCAGTGCAGGTTCTGCGTTCCATAGGTGTGCATGTGCTGGCCATAATCGAAGATAAACTCATATATGCCACAGAGGGTGAGAGGAAGCATCAGCTCTGGGGTGACCTCGGGAGCAGCTAGGCACCGGATGGTTAAGGCCCACGTGAGCGGAGCCTCCACGATCACGTCGATCCAGTTGCGCTTGCTGGACAAGCACGGCATGAACGGAGCATTGTACTTTAGAGTGCCTGGCGTCATCCGGTACCACCAATCTGTAAATGGGGGCCCGAACTTCGCGTGGAGAGGCCCATGCATCACTCCGAGCCCCAGCGACTCCCACATATTGAACATGACGATGAGCTTCTGCACGACGGTCAGCCAAGGGAATCCCCCCTCGGCGTCGGGGATGGGGGTAGTCGCTACAAAGGTCAGGCAGAAGAGCACCAGGAAGACAACCATCATACCCCAATGCCATAACAGAAACGAGTTCGGGAGCCCAAGCCCCCCGTCGGCGGCGTGAATCCGCTTCACTCCGATGTCTGTCACCTTCAGGAATGGTGCCGCCTTGCCCCCCTTCTGAGAGGCGGACTCCTCGACCTGCTTCTTGATGCCATTCTCGTCTGGTCCGGGAGGCAGAAGGGCACCCCAGTACCTCCCAACTCCTTTCCCCCCAACCCTGGGATCACCACGGGAGGGGAGCGGCCGGGGAGATAGGGGGTGTCTGAGTGGATGCTAAAGTAGGCTCTACCTGGTGGCCTAAGCCGGCATATATGTGGCCTGCAAGTGCCTTAAGTGGCTTAGGGGTGCTAGATAACTCCGCTAAGTGGGCCACTTAGCCCGGATATTTTCCCCCCAAGCAAATCAGGACACCTGTAACCCACTTGTAAGCTAAGTTACCCTCCTAAGTATCCACTTTTGGACTCTTATCCCCTTCGCAGCCCCCGCGGCGACGCTAGAACCTATCATCCACCCTCATCCACCCCCAATCTCCTCCTCCCCTTATATGCACTGTTGGGACACACCACAGAATATAGCCGGAGTGCAGTATCCCCCAAACAGGGTTTTTAGACCCACTGCGGTTTCCAAGGTCGATTGCGTGCCCGTCCAGTGCGGGCTGGCATGGCATGTTAAAACATGCCTCCTCCTCCTCCTCCTCCTCCTCCTCCTCCTCCTCCTCCTCCACCTCCTCTTCATCCCGAACGGCATCTCGGAGCCCAGAGTTGCGAGGATGTCTCCAGCGTAACGGGCTGGACCACCTCGCGCGCGGCATCTCGGACCCCAGAGTTGCGACGATGTCTCGGGCGAAACGTGCTGCGAGGAAGTCTCAGGCGAAACGGGCCGGACCACCTCGAGCGCGGCGTCTCAGTGCTCCGAGTTGCGGGGGCCTCCTGGGGCCTCCTGGGGCCTCCTGGTGACCTCCTGGGGCTTCCTCCTGGGCCTCCTGTGGCCTCCTGGACCCCACCTGGGGCTTCCTGAAGCCTCGCGGGGCTCCCAGGGGAGGATATCTAACATATGGCCGTCGGGGCCCCCCCAAAATGGGCGGGGGCCACAAGAACAGGAAAAATCAACGAATCGACACCGGATGTATATTGACTTGACACGTTCTGATAGGGGGCCTCCTGGGGCCTCCTGGGAGCCTCCTGGGAATCTCCTGCGGACCCCTGGGGCCTGTCCTGGGCGTCCTGCGGCCTCCTGAAGCTCTCTGGGGCCTCCTGGGGCTCCCAGGGTCCCAGGGGGGATATGTAACATGTGGTCTTCTGGGCTCCAGGCTGGACCACCTCTTGCGCAGCATCTGAGAGCTCAGAGTTGCGAGAATGTCTTGTGCGAAACGGGCCGGACCACCTTGCGCACGGCATCTCAAAGCTCAGAGTTGCGAGGATGTCTCAGGCGAGATGGGCCGGACCACCTCGCGCAGGGCATCTCGGAGCCCAGAGTTGCGAGGATGTCTCCAGCGTAACGGGCTGGACCACCTCGCGCGCGGCATTTCGGACCCCAGAGTTGCGACGATGTCTCGGGCGAAACATGCTGCGAGGAAGTCTCAGGCGAAACGGGCTGGACCACCTCGAGCGCGGCGTCTCAGAGCTCCGACTTGCGGGGGCCTCCTGGGGCCTGCTGGGGCCTCCTGGTGACCTCCTGGGGCTTCCTCCTGGGCCTCCTGTGGCCTCCTGGATAAATCAACGAATCGACACCGGATGTGTATTAACTTGACACGATCTGATAGGGGGCCTCCTGGGGCCTCCTGGGAGCCTCTTGGGAATCTCCTGCGGACCCCTGGGGCCTGTCCTTGGCGTCCTGCGGCCTCCTGAAGCTCTCTGGGGCCTCCTGGGGCTGCCAGGGTCTCAGGGGGGATATGTAACATGTGGTCTTCTGGGCCCCCAGGCTGGATCACCTCTTGCGCAGCATCTGGGAGCTCAGAGTTGCGCGAGTGTCTTTTGCGAAACGGGCCAGACCACCTTGCGCACGGCATCTCAGAGCTCAGAGTTGCGAAGATGTCTCAGGCGAGATGGGCCGGACCACCTCGCACAGGGCATCTCGGAGCCCAGAAATGCGAGGATGTCTCCAGCGTAACGGGCTGGACCACCGCGCGCGCGGCATCTCGGACCCCAGAGTTGCGACGATGTCTCGGGCGAAACGTGCTGCGAGGAAGTCTCAGGCGAAACGGGCTGGACCACCTCGAGCGCGGTGTCTCAGAGCTCCGAGTTGCGGGGGCCTCCTGGGGCCTCCTGGTGACCTCCTGG